TGTACTGCTGTTACACAGCATAAAGCGCATAAAAATTTAAAGAAGCTGTTGCTCAGTATGCGAGGGAGGAAGACGGTGATGCTTAGGAAAGTGTGCGCGGTGAACAGGTAAACAAAAAAACAAGTAAACAACGAGAACAGGTAAACAAAGAGCGTTGCAGTGTGTAGCAATGAAAAATACGAAGGACTGATAGTTCATAAAAAAGTTCCCATAATGACTTGTTAAGAACGTATTAAAAATACTTCAACATATAGAAACTGTGCTTGAAATTTTTGATGAAACGTACCAGGTCATGACGGCGCATGTGAGGCCGCATGCATCCCGTACACACCAGGCGCAACCACAGAAACGCGTTTTGTCGCTGGAGCCGTTCATTGTTTCATCGAACAACTCAACACAGGGCACTGGCCATCGTTCAACCACTCGTTTCTCCAACTCATGCACCGTCACATCTGAAAATCCAATCCAAACAGTTCGTTCACCGTACATCTCATTTATCAAAAGAACACATTTTGCATAAACTCCTATAATGGGTAGGGGATACCCCCGCAGCCAGCAGGATATTTCGTCGTGGTCAAGGAGTGGCAACATTCGCAACAAAATGATAATATCCAATAGAGAATAAGGACAATTGAAAATGGATAAAGCCCTATCAAGTGTTTTTGTCGCTAGTACTTTCGAGCTGATAAACGTTTCAGTGAAGAAGTCAGGATCGCCAGTTAACTGACGATGAGGCACTGTTCAACGGAACTGGAAAATCTGGTATCTGTAGGATTCCAGAAACGATTCTGAATTAGAGCTGAAACAAGTAAGCACTGGTAGCCACAGACGGATCCAAAACGAACTCCTGACAGAGGCAACGGAGGGTGGGGGGAAAGTCCTCTCCCTCCCCGGAATTATGCAAAAACTAGAAATAGAATTGCAACACTGCCACTTAGAATCACTTTAGTTTAGGAACAGAATTATAATCACTTAGAATTACTTTAGAGTTACTTTAGGCTTTAGTTTACTTTAGTTTTAGCTCTAGACCCTGGTTTTTTTTGCAGCGTTGGTTCCCCTCCCCGAGATCTGCCTAGGCTAGTAGCGCAACACTGTGTATGCCCGCAAGTATGAGCCATTCTGATTCAAAAACTGCAAGAAATTTGACTTTTTGCGAGTGGCGCAGTGATGGGATGGGAGAGCAACATCAGCTGCTGCTCATGGATGGAGGATGATCAGCCGGCCGAACGCCAGGGCGCAATAAAAATGCAATTCTTCACTGATTTTAGTAAGATTTCATCGGGTGTTACCGGGCCCCCTCATTACATGGTTTCTACTCGTCCATTCCAATTAAATATCTGGAACATGCATAAACATGTTCTGCTTATTGCCTAATATACCTGAAAAATATTCTGCCCATTTCATCTCAACAGGCTCATGGGTGTGGAGCAGATACAAGCTTCCCAAATTGGCAATTTTCCCGCCAAAACTTTCACGCGCCCATGCGCTGAGAGCCATGCATAGCTGGGGGCTGAATTTGAAATAATCTTTATGTTATACGTGGGCAGGGAACAACAACTCCCTCATATGGTGGGCAGGGGATAATTCTTAATATCTCCTGAGTACCTTGAATAGCGCTATTCACTCAAGCTGGGCAAAATTGTCTCGCGTATGTTTGTTTCAATTACACATCGCTGCAAAAGTTCTCATGATGCGTGGGGAAAATCATCGCACCTGCAGTTCATCAAATTCAAACAGTGTAAGAGGAAGAGCATCGAATTCAAACAGCAAACTGTGTGTGTATGTTTGTGTGCGTGTGTGTGTGCGTTTGTGTGTGTATGTTTGTGTGCGTGTTTGTGCGTGTGTGTGTGCGTGTGTTTGTGTGTGTATTTTCGCACGTGTGCTTGTGTGTATGTGTGTGCGTGTGTGTGCGTGTGTACGTGTGCTTCGAACGATGTGCTTCGAACGGAGGAGATCATACCGAAGAAGACCATCCGAGCCCTGGTTTCGGTCCATTAAGTCGCGTACATTCCTATTCAGCATTACAACTGCACCGGTCAATGCTACGGTTATGGCCTTGATCAGAATTATTTAAAATACGATATATTTAAGAAAAAAAAGTGAAATTTAGGCGAATGTAAGGGAAAAAAGTATGCCATAAAAGAAAAAAAAAGGAAACAATTTGATGTGACGTGATCTGACGTCTCGCTCGCCAGTCAACTTCTCCCATGCGTTGCGTAGCAGCACAAAACCCAAACAGTACTCAAAAAACTTCAGCCGCTGCCCTTCCCTGTATTGCTGGAAACGGCAAGAATGTCGGAGTTAGCAGGAACCACCGGAAAAAACGCCACGGACGTAAGGGGGAGCCCATTCCCCACGGGTAATCTTACCCGAGTTTGCATGGCGTCCGAGCTCCTCGAATTACCGTCCCAGCTGCATAATGCTCGGCTCGGCCCGTAATGCATTTTGGCGGCAGATTTTTCAAAAAAAGGTTTTACGTGTCAGGTGGGTTGGCTACGTGTATCGCGTTGTCTCGTGCGTGAGCTGCCTGGGCCTACGTGTTGAGGGTGTGACGTACGTGGAGGAGGGCGGGGAGAGGTGGAGGGAAATGGGTTAAGATGGCATGTGGCGAGTCGATTGGCTACCTGTTTTCCAGTAGCCAGTCATTGTCCACCGTGGCAACCGGTGGGGGTGGTACAGAGGAAAAGGAGG